AGACTGGATGAGGAGGAAATAGAAAATCTGAAAAGACCTATAAGTAACAAGGAGATTTAGTCAGTAATCTAAAATCTGAAAAAAAAAAAGTCCAGGACCAGATGTTTCATAGGCGAATTCTAGCAAACATTCAACCAAGAATTAACACCAAATTTTCTCAAACTCTTCCAAAATATTAAAGCAGAGGGAACACTTTCTAGCTCATTTTATGAGGCTAAGACTGCCCTTGATACCAAAGCCCAACAAAGATACTACAAGAAAACTACAGACCACTAGCTCTTATGTTGCTGCAAAATCTACAACAAAATATTAACCTAACCAGCCTATTAAGGGATTACACACAATGACCAAGTCGAACTAATTCAAGGAATGCAAGAACTGTTCAACATGTGAAAATCAATGTAATATAACACATTAACAAATAAAGGAAAAAACCTAATCATCTCAGTTGTTGCAGAAAAAGCATGTGATAAAATTCATACCCTTTCATGATAAAAATATTCAAAAAACTTGGAATATAGGGAACCTACCTCAACATAACAAAGGCCATATATGAAAAACCCACAGCCAACACCTATGCAGTGGTGAAAGACTAAAACATGACAAGGATGCCTTCCTTCACCACTTCTATTCAACACAGTACCAGAAGTCCTAGCCAGAGGAATTAAATAAGAAAAAGAAATAAGGGGGCCTGGGTGGCTCAGCTGTTAAGCGTCTGCCTTCGGCTCAGGTCATGATCCCAGGGTCTTGGGATCGAGCCCCGCATCAGGCTCCCTGCTCATCGGGAAGCCTGCTTCTCCCTCTCCCTCTGCCTGCAGCTCCCCCTGCTTGTACTCTGTTTCTCCCTCTCTCGCTCTCTCTGTCAATAAATAAATAAAATCTTAAAAAAAAAAAGAAAAAAGAAAAAGAAATAAAAGCATGCATATTGGAAAAGAAGAAGTAAAATTATCTCTGTTCACAGACATTATGTTACAGGTATAAAAACCTAAAGATTCCACAAAAAACTGTTAGAACTGATACACAATTTTAGCCAGGTTATAGGATATAAAATCAATACACGAAAATCAGTTGTTTCTATACACTAACAATGAACAATCTGGAGAAGAAATTAAGAAAACAATTCCATTTACAATAGCACTGAAAAAAATTAAATACTTAGGAATAAACTTAACCAAGGAGGTACACCAAAGACTATAAAATACTGCTGAAAGAAATTAAAAGAGGCACAAATGGAAAAACATCCCATGTTTGGGGACTGCAAAACTTAACATTGTTAAGATGTCCATACTTACCCACAGCAAACTAGAGATTGAACATAATCCCTATAAAAATCCCAAAAGCATTTTTTGCAGAAATATAAAATCATACAGAAATACCAAGGGACCTTAAATAACCCAAACAATCTAAAAAAGGAATCCAGTTGGAGGTGTCACATTTCTTGATTTCAAAACTTACTACAAAACTACAGCAATCAAAACAGTGTAGTATTAGCATAAAGAAAGACATGCAGCCCAATGGAACAGAAATAAACTCTCGCATATGTAGTCAAATGATTTTTGACAAGGGTGTCAACATTATTCAATGGGTAAGGACAATCTTTTCAACAAATTGTGGTGGGAAAACTGGGCATCTACATGTACAAGAATGAAGGTGAGGGCGCCTGGGTGGCTCAGTTGGTTAAGTGACTGCCTTCAGCTCAGGTCATGATCCTGGAGTCCCAGGATCGAGTCCCACATCGGCTCCCTGCTGAGCAGGGAGTCTGCTTCTCTTTCTGAACCTCTTCCCTCTCGTGCTCTCTATCTCTCATTCTCTCTCTCTCAAATAAACAAATAAAATCTTTAAAAAAATAAAATAAAAGAATGAAGGTGAATCCTTATTTTACACCACACAAAAATTAATTCAAAATGGATCTAACATCTAAACATAAAAGTATAAAACTCTCGAAAAAAAACATAGTAGAAAAGCTTTATGACATTGGATTTGACAATAATTTCTTAGATAGACACAAATGCACAGATAACAAAAGAGAAATACACAGTTGGACTTCAAAATTTCAGACAAACTTTTGCAAAGATGATTGACATCACCAAACAAATGCAAAACAAAACCACAATGATACTGCTTCACACCCATTAAGATGGCTATTACCAAAAAAAACAAAAAACAAGTGTTGACAAGGATGTGTAGACACTGGAACCCTCATGCACTGCTTGTGGATAAGTAATGGTGTAGTCACTGTGGAAAACAGTATGGCAGTTCCACAAAAAGTTAAAAATAGCAATTTGCCTTCTGGGTACATACTCAAAAGAACTGAACACTGAGTCTCAAAGAGGTATTCATCCACTCATGTTCACAGCAACATCATTATGCACAATAGCTAAAAGGTGAAAACAACTCAGCTATATATCAATAGATAAATGGATATATAAAATACCATGCAGTGTTCAAAAGGAGAAAATTTGACACATGCTACATTAGGGATGAACTCTGCAGAGATTATGGTAAATGAAAGTAGCCAGTCATAGGGAGCCTGGGTGGCTCAGTTGGTTAAGTGACCGCCTTCAGCTCAGGTCATGATCCTGAAGTCCTGGGATCGAGTCCCACATCGGGCTCCCTGCTCAGCGGGGAGTCTGCTTCTCCCTCTGACCCTCTTCCCTCTCATGTTCTCTCTATCTCATTCTCTCTCTCAAATAAATAAATAAAATCTTTAAAAAAAAAAAAAAAAGAAAGTAGCCAGTCATAAAAGGACAAATACTATATGATCCCCTCAAAAGAGGTACTCAGATTTCACGAGAGAAAGCAGATTGGTGGTTACCAGGGGCCAGAAGGTAGGGAATGTGGAGAGTCATTATTTAATAAGTGCAAAGTTTCAATATTGCAAGATGAAAATGTTCTGTGGGTAGATGGCAGTGATGGTTGCACAACAATGTAAATGTACTTCATGAACTGCACACTTAAAAATCATTTAAATGGGGGGCGCCTGGGTGGCTCAGTTGTTAAGCGTCTGCCTTCAGCTCAGGTCATGATCCCAGGGTCCTGGGATCGAGCCCTGCATCGGGTTCCCTGCTCCAGGGGAAGCCTGCTTCTCCCTCTCCCACTCCCCCTGCTTGTGTTCCCTCTCTCGCTGTGTCTCTCTCTGTCAAATAAATAAATAAAATCTTTTTTAAAAAATTTAAAAATGATTTAAATAGTAAAACAAAAAATAATGATGTTAAACAATATTCACTTTCTAAAAAGAGACATACTATATGATTCCACTTAGTATCTAGAGTAGTCAAATTCAAACAAACAGAAAATAGAATGGTCGCTGTCGGGGTCGGGGTGAGAGGGAAATGGGAGTTGTTTAATTGGTATAGAGGAGTTTCAGTTTTGGAAGATTAAAAACTTCTGGATATTAGTTGCACAACATGTGAATATATTTAACACTAATGAACTGTGCACTTAAAAGTGGTTAAGATGATAAATTTTACCAAAAGTAAAACACACACACTTAAAAGATGTTTGCTTTCAGAGTTCATTTGGATAAGAGGCAAGAGAAGTACACTTAGTTTATGGATAGTGTATCAGCTGTGTGTCTGAAATAGTACCAATGTTTCCTTCAGAAGAAAATTATTAATTATCCTGAATGAATGAGAGAAGCTTTTGGGATTTATCAGCTCTGTATTAACTCTAAAAGACAAGAGCTAGTGTTCTTCTCATGTAAACTCTTAACCTAATTCTTTAAAAAAAAAAAAATATTTTATTTATTTGAGAGAGAGAGAGCACAAGTAGGGGAGCGACAGAGGGAGAGGGAGAAGCAGGCTCCCCACTGAGCAGGGAGCCCAATGTGGGGCTCGATCCCAGGACCTGGGAATCATGACCTGAGCTGAAGGCAGACGCTTAACCAACTGAGCAACCCAGGCACCACTCTTAATCTAATTCTCAATTATGTTTTTAATTCCTATAAGCTTAACTTATTCAAGAAAGTCACCAGGAAAAGTAATCAAGCTCTAAAAGAGAAGACAGAACATTATCAAGCCATTTTTGTCCCAAGTAAACACAAAGTTCAAATGACTTAATTGGTCAACTTTATAAAGATCACTTTAATTTGTGATGCCCATTTTCAACAAATTTGGTCTGAGTGCTGTAAAGAGGTTATGGGGCAGGTCATAGAACTGGGACTCAAAAAAAAAAAAAAAAACCCAAAAAGATTTTAAGATTTAAAAAATCCCAATAAATTCTGTTTCTGGCTCTAGAAGGATCCTTGTGTCTAAGTCTCAGTTGTCTTATCCACAATACCATAATCCTACTTTGAAAGGCACTGTATGTTAATTATAATTCAAAACCCAATGAAATAGAAATATACCATTGCTGAGGATGGTTTATCATTTTCATTATGTGCCACACACTTTTCCTACTTAAAATAATTTCTACTACAGTGATTTGAAAGGGCACATGCACCCCAACGTTTATAGCAGCAATGTCCACAATACCCAAAATCTGGAAAGAGCCTAGATGTCCATTGACAGATGAATGGATAAAAGTGTGGTATGGGTACACACACACACACATACACACACACAGGAATATTACTCAGCCATCAAAAAGAATGAAATCTTGCCATATGCAACAACATGGATGGAATTAGAGGGTATTATGCTAAGTGACGTAAGTCAGAGAAAGACAAAGCCATATGATTTCATTCCTATGTGGAATTTAAGAAACAAAACAGAGGAAAATAGGGGAAGGGAAGGAAAAATAAAATAAGATAAAAACAGAGAGGGAGGCAAACCATAAGGGACTCTTAACTGTAGGAAACAAACTGAGGGTTGCTAGAGGGGAGGTGGGTGGGTAGATGGGGTAACTGGATGATGGGCATTAAGGAGGGCACTTGATGTAATGAGCACTGGGTGTTATATGCAACTGATGAATCACTAAATTCTACCCCTGAAACTAATAATATACCATATGCTAACTAAATTGAATTTAAATAAAATATTTAAAAAAATTTTTTTACTTACTTGGTCAACTTGTGGCTTTTCATTGCTGTGAGAAATTCTCTAACAATCTCAGGACTCTGGTGCCTGCATGGTGTTTTTGATATATATTTTAATGTCTACCCAAAAAAAAGAAAGAAAAAGTAAGCATAAGGCAAAAAAAAACCTGAATGAGAAAAAGGGAAGACAATGGCTATAATTTAGTATTCTAAAATTTTATTTCAAAAATCTTCTATAAAAGGGCACCTGTGTGGCTCAGTCAGTTGAGCATCTGACTCTTGATTTTGGCTCAGGTCATGATCTCAAGGTCATGGGATCAAGCCCTGCATAGGGCTCCACGCTCAGCATGAAATCTGCTTGTCCCTCTCCCTCCCCTGTTTCACCCCCCCATATACCTGCCTGCTCTCTCTCTCAAATAAATAAATCTTAAAAAAAAAAAATCTTCTATAAAACATATGCCTTCAGGAGAGTCAATCTTCATATAATGGGAATTCCTCAAAAAGAAAACCAGTGGCTAGAATAGGAAGAATAATGAATGACTTTCTAGAAGAAAGCTTTTCTGATTTTAAAAAAGAAAAAACTCAATCTGACAATTGTGCTTTATTTCAGGAAATTTTTTTAGTGATACATATATATGTATATATACATACGTATATATAATGGACTCAGCCATCAAAAAGATGAAATCTTGCCATTTGCAACGACATGGATGGAACTAGAGGGGTATTATGCTAAGCGAAATAAATCAATCAGAGAAAGATAATTATCATATGATCTTACTGATATGTGGAATTTAAGAAACAAAACAGGATTATAGGGGAAGAGAGGAAAAAATAAAACAAGAAACCAGAGAGGGAGACAAACCACAAGAGACTCCTAATCATAGGAAACAAACTGAGGGTTGCTGGGGAAGAGGGGGGTGGAGGGATGGGCTAACTGGGTGATGGACATTAAGGAGGGCATGAGATGTAATAAGCACTGGGTATTATATAAGACTGATGAATCACAGACCTGTACCTCTGAAACCAATATTACATTATATGTTAATCATCTGAATTTAAATAAAAAAGGAAATAAACATGGATTAAAAAAAGTTTGAAAACTCAAAAAAATAAAATAAAATAGAAAATAAAAACAGGGAACCCAAAGAATAAAATAGTCACCAGTCCATATGGGTATAAGTAAATAAAAGGATGAGAAGGAACAAGTGTTTCTTACAGAAGAATTCTGTGTTAAATGTGCAAGGAATGAGGGAAATAAATCACCATTAGGGAATTGAACCATAGTAATAATTACTGCAGGAAAGATATACCAATGAATACTAAAATTAATACTAAAAGCTTTAAGTGGGATATTTGCATAGCCTCAAAGCATCCTTCTCAAAATATTTATTAATTACTGTGATGGTTTTATTTTTTATTTTATTTTTTTAAAGATTTTATTTATTGGGCGCCTGGGTGGCTCAGTTGGTTAGGCGACTGCCTTCGGCTCAGGTCATGATCCTGGAGTCCCGGGATCGAGTCCCGCATCGGGTTCCCTGCTCAGCAGGGAGTCTGCTTCTCCCTCTGACCCTCTTCCTTCTTGTGCTTTCTATCTCTCATTCTCTCTCTCTCTCAAATATCTCTCCCAAATAAATAAATAAAATCTTTAAAAAAAAAAAAAAGATTTTATTTATTTATTTGAAAGAGAGAGAATGAGAGATCGCACGAGAGAGAAGAGGGTCAGAGGGAGAAGCAGACTCCCTGCTGAGCAGGGAGCCTGATGCGGGACTCGATCCTGGGACTCCAGGATCATGACCTGAGCCGAAGGCAGTCGCTTAACCAACTGAGCCACCCAGGCGCCCTACTGTGATGGTTACATGTCCTCAAATTCTTTGATCTCCTTCCCTTCAAGAGGTGAAGGCTAATCCCCTCCCCCTTGAATGGGCTGAATGTGGCAACTCCTTTCTAACTGATACAAAATGGAAATGGAAAACCAGTAACTTTACAGTAGAGAAACCAGGCATATACCATCTTAACCAAGTAATCAAAGTTCACAACTTCAGTAAGAAGACACTGATATCATGTACCCTGTACCATGCAATGAGAAGGGCACATCTCTTCTGTGGCATTCTTCCCCAAAAGCCATAACTTCAGTCTGGTCAGAAGAAAACATCAAACAAACCAAAATTGAGGGACATTCTACAAAATACTTGACCATTACTCTTCAGAAGTGTCAAGGTCATGCATGGAAGATGAGGAAAGACTAAGGACCCATTACAGATTGGGGGATATTAAGGAGACATGGTAACTAAATACAAAACAGCACCCCTGAACAGAAAAAGAGCATTAATGGAAAAACTGAGAAAATTTGATCTTTGTGTAATTTTGTTAGTTTTGATAATTGTGCCATGGTTATATAAGATGTTAACATCAGGGACAACTAAAGAAGGGCATATGGGAACTCTCAGCACCATCTTCTTTCTGCAAAACTCTTCTGCAAGACTGTAATTATCTCAAAATGAAAGGCTTTTGCTTTTTTTTAAAGCGGCAACCCCACCTAGACATAACTTGAAAGGAACTTCAAACCTGGAAAGTAAACAGTAACCTCAAGCACCTAAGTTAAGCGTCTCTCCCAGGTGCAAAAATCAGGTTGGTTTCAGACTCCTCCATAACAACAAACACTAACAGACTAAGTAATACCTACAGAGCCTTGCAGAATGAAAGCTGAACCCAAGAACTCCGTGTTCAGATGAGGTGTCATTCACATTAAGAACACTAGAAATACATTCTCAGGCATAAAAAGTCTCAAAACATTTAACACCACAATAAGTTTCCTTAAGGCACTGTGAATTAAAAGCAAGAACTTAACAAATATGTAACAGAGTGGGAGTGAGTTTAAACTGATTCAAGTGTGTAGTAAGAGTACGTGACAGCTTGAAATCTGGCTACAAAACTCATTACCGACATTATCTTTTTTTAAAGAGATGAATGGTATAACATAAAAGAACATAAGTGAATAAATGAATGATGGATTTTATTTATTGATTGATTTGAGAGAGAGAGAGAGAGAGCGTGCATGCAACAAGCTGGGGGGAGGGAGAGGGAGAAAGTTTTTTTGTTTCATTTTGTTTTTAAGATTTTATTTATTTATTTGACAGAGAGAACACAAGCAGGGCGAGTGGGAGAGGGAGAAGCAGGCTTCCTGCTGAGCAGGGAGCCTGATGTGGGGCTCGATCCCAGGACCCTGAGATGACCGGAGCTGAAGACAGACGCTTAACGACTGAGCCACCCAGGTGCCCCAAGGGAGAAAGAATCTTAAGCAGGCCCGATGCGGGGCTCGAACTCAGGACCCTGAGATCATGACCTGAGCTAAATCAAGAATGGGGTGCTTAATGACTGATCTACCCAGGTGCTCCTGAATGACAGGACTTTATTTTTATTTTTTTTTAAGATTTTATTTATTTATTTGACAGAGAGAGACAGCCAGAAAGGGAACACAAGCAGGGGGAGTGGGAGAGGGGGAAGCAGGCTTCCCGCGGAGCAGGGAGCCCGATGCCGGGCTCAATCCCAGGACCCTGGGACCATGACCTGAGCCGAAGGCAGACGCTTAACGACTGAGCCACCCAGGCGCCCCATGACAGGACTTTAAACACACGATTAGATGAACAAAACTGGATGGGGACGAATGGTGACAAAAAGTGCTAAACACCCCTTAATTTCCTTAAAAGGGATTATAGTAACTTAATTCAGGTTTAATTGTGTCTTTGGAAAGATAAAGATAATTAAAACTAGATCCTCTGTAGAGACAAATCAGATTTGAAAGAAAATAATAGAAAAATTAAAATGGCAGATACAAAATCAAACATCACATAAAACAAATATGATGGCTTAAACTTTTTTAAGGATAAAGAAAGCCTAAGGTTGGGAGAAAACATAGCAAAATGTCAACTAGATGTTAAAATTGTAAATTACTTTTGCTTTCTTCTTTATATTTTTTGGTGCTTTCTAAGTTTTTTACAATAAAAAACATTACCTTTTGTGTAATAAAGAATTTGGCTTTGCCCAAAGATACGGTTTGGTCTTTGCCTTCAACTTCTGGGAGGCAATCTCTAGACCCTTGGAAGGTTATACTCAATAGGAGTATCTTTGTCTGGAGGCCTTGGTCATACTGAATAGTCTTAAAAATGTGACTTAGGGTAGGGGCTCTGGATCAATGTACCTGGAGGCTGAGATGAACTACATAGGAAATCAATCATTCAATCACACCTATATGATAGAGCCCAAATAAAAATTCAGGACTGAAGTTCAGCTGAGCTCCCCTAGTTGAAAATATTCTGTATGTATTATCACACCGATTTCAAGAGAGAAACATGTTCTGACTCCATATTAGAGGACAACAGAAGCTCTGAGTTGGAATTTCTCCTAAAATCTGACCCATGTGCTTTTTCCCTTGGCCAATTTTAATCTGTATCTTTTTCGTGTAATAAACTGTAACTATGAATACAATAGCCTTCAGTGAGTTCTGAATATTTCCAGTGAATTACTGAACCCAAGGGTGGTCTTAGGGACCCTTGACTTGCAAATGGGTGTTAGAATTGAGGGCAGTCTTTTGACTATTCCCTCCAACTTTATCAATGGCTAACCCTCACCACTGGCCAAACTCCTTCCACTTGTATAAACAGAATAAAAACTGGGTTATAGTAAAACTACTCAAATCAAGTAAGAGGTAGTCATGATTTGGTGGCTAGTCATCTGCAGAATAAACCAACCCCCCTCAATAGCAGTTTGGGTAGCTCCTCCAGAAACAAAGGCTTACTTCATATGTGATAGTATTCAAGTTCTGTTGCCCAGAACTGTGTTTGTTCTTTCCACTTTCTTTCCGTTGCTCTTTCAGATCAGTCAGTAACTGGAACACCTAGGAAGTGATAAAATACTTTTATGAACGAATGTGAGAAATGTATCTATTTCAAGGTCAATGATTTTGAAGAAGAAGTAGGACAGTACCTCTTTTCTTTCACAGACCCTCACCCTACCTCTTGCATTAGAACGAACATGAGTTTGAGAAGCAGCTGCCATTTTTAAAATGCTTTTATCTAAATCAAATAATCCAAATTCATTAGTGTACTGAAAATATTTCAAATGTTTCCTTATCAACATATACCATATCACTGATCTCCTCTGACCTCACAAATATATGGAGTATATCTGAAAGTAAATTTTCCTAAAATATGATCATCTCAATAGATGCAAAGAATTTTCTAAAATTCAACACCAATTTATGATAAGAACGCTCAACAAACTGGATTTAGAGGGAACATACATTAATGTGTAAAGGCCATATATGACAAGCCCTCAGCTAATATCATACTGAACAGTGAAAAGCTGAAAGCTTTTCCTATTAGATCAGGCCAAGATAAAGATGCAACTCTTGCCCCTTTTATTCAACACAGTATTGGAAGTCCTTGCCAGAGCAATTAGGCAAGAAAATACAAGGCAGCCAAATTGGAAAGAAAGTGGTAATGCTGTCACTATTTGCAGATGACATGATACTACATATAAAAAACCCTAAAGACTCTACCAAAAAACTGAACTAATAAATGAATTCAGTAAAATTACAGAGAAATTAAGTAAACAATCCCATTTACAATTGCATCAAAAAGAATAAATTACCTAGGAATAAATTTAACCTAGGAATGAAAGATCTATATACTGAAAGGATAAGATGCTGATGAAAGAAACTGCAGAAAACACAAATAAATGGAATGATATTCCATGCTCATGGATTAGAAGAATTAATGATGTCCATATTACCCAAACAATCTACAGATTCAGTGTAATCTCTATCAAAATTCCAATGGCATTCTTCACAGAAATAGAACAAACAATCCTAAAATTTTATGGAACCACAAAAGACCCTGAATAGTCAAAGCAATCTTGAGAAAGAAGAGCAAAGCTGGAGGCATCATGCTTCCTGATTTCAAACTATATTACAAAACCAAGAAATCAAAATGGTATTGTATCAGCATAAAAACAGACACATAAATCAATGGAACAGAATAGATAGTCCAGAAATAAACCCACACATATGTGGTTAATTTTTGACAAAGGAGCCAACAATATACAATGGGGAAAAGAGAGTCTCTTCAATAAATGGTGCTGGGAAAACTGGACCACTATCTTACACCACACACAAAAATGAACTCAAATGAATTAAAGAACTGAATGCAAGTTGTGAAACCATAAAGCTCCTAGAAGAAAACACAGGAGGTAAGCTCCTTGACATCAGTTTTGGTGATGATTTTTTTTTTATTTAACACCAAAAGTAAAGGCAACAAAAGCAAAAATTAAAAAGTGGGGCTACATCACACTAAAAGGCACAGCAAGGGAAACCATCAGCAAAATGAAGACAACTTACTAGATGAGAGAAAAGATTTGCAAATCATGTATCTGATAAGGAGTTAATATTCAAAATATATAAAGAACTTACAGAACTAAATACCAAAAAACCAATCTCATTAAAAAGTGGGCAGAGGGGCGCCTGGGTGGCTCAGTTGGTTAAGCGACTGCATTCGGCTCAGGTCATGATCCTGGAGTCCCGGGATCGAGTCCCACATCGGGCTCCCTGCTCAGCAGGGAGTCTGCTTCTCCCTCTGACCCTCTTCCCTCTCGTGCTCTCTATCTCATTCTCTCTCAAATAAATAAATAAATAAATCTTTAAAAAAATAAAATAAAATAAAATAAAATAAAAAAATAAAAAGTGGGCAGAGGACCTAAACAGACATTTTTCAAAAGAAGACACACACATGGCCAACAGACACATAAAAAGATGCTCAACATCACTAATCATCAGGGAAGTGCAAATCAAAACCACAATGAGATATCGCTTCACACTTGTTAAAATAGCTAACATCTAAAAGGCAAGAAATAGTAAGTGTTGGCAAGGATGAGAAGAAAAGGAATCCCTTATGCACTGTTGGTGGGAATGTAAATTTATGCAACCACTATAGAAAACAGTATGGAGGTTCCTCAAAAAGTTAAAAATAAAACCACTATATGATTCAGCAATCCCACTTCTGGGTATTTTATCAAAATAAAATAAAAAAATTAACTCAAAAGACATATGCACCACCATGTTCAAAGCAGCATTATTTACAATAGCCAAGATATGGAAACAACCTTGGTGTCCATTAACAGATGAATAAAAAAATATGGTTTTTATATATACAATGGAATATTATTTGGCCATAAAAAAGAATGAAATCTTGCCATTTGAAACATGGATGGATCTTGGGGTATTACGCTAAGTAAAATAAGTCAGATAGAGAAAGACAAATACTGTAGGATCTCACTTATATGTGGAATCTTAAAAAAACAAAATAAAAACTAGGGAGTGCTGGGTGGCTCAGTCGGTTAAGCGTGCGACTCCTGATTTCAGCTCAGGTCATGATCTCAGGGTTGTGGGATCAAGCCCCGCCCTGGGCGCCACACTCAGCAGAGTCCGCTTGTCCCTCTCCCTCTGCTCCTCCATCAGCTAGCATGTGCATACATTCTCTCTCAAATAGATAAACAAACAAATAAATACATACATAAAATCTTAAGAAAAAAAAAAAAACCAAGCTCACAGACATAGAGAACAGACTCATGGCTGCCAGAGGCAGGAGGTAGAGGGTGGGCAAAATCAGTAAGGGAGTCAAAAGATACAAATTTTCAGTTACAAAATAAATAAAATAAGATGCACAGCATGGTGACTAAAGTAAAACTGTACTGAATATTTGAAAGTTGATAAGAGATTAAATCTTAGAAAGTTCTCATCACAAGGAAAAAATCTTTATATATGGTAATGGATGTTAACTAGACTCATTGTGGTAATTTCACAATGTACAAATATTGAATCATTACAGTGTACACCTGAAACTAATGTTATCTGTCAACTGAGCCTCAGGTAAAAGTTGTTTTTCCTAAAAATAAGTTTTTTCTAAAACAGGATCCTGCTTCACTAATATGAAATCTAATAAATTTATTTCTGAGAAAGAAAAATTACGAGGCAAGTGATAAATTTTACAAAAAAAAGAAAAAAAAATGCTACAGAACTTTAGAAGTAAACTTTCCCCACAAGGGAAAAACATATATGTGTTAGTGCGGAGGAGGGTGGGCAGAGGATATCCTATTTTAGAGATTATGCTAGAGAACTAAAGGAAGTTAAGCATAGGTTCATAAACCATTACTAGATATAATACAATCCTTCCCCTGCCTGTCATTATTTTTTCAGATATAGTGTCATGTGACCTAATTAATGTGATGTTTCCCCAATGGATAAAACACCCAAACATTTAGCAGAATCCAAACTGGACAAGGAAGTTCCTAAAAGCCAATGGCTTGACTAACAACCATTTCCTTCCTGTTATCAGTAGCAACAATTTAAGGAAGGAGTGTGGCCAACTGTGTTAATCCCACTACTTTCTATTTTCTATAACACACAATGGAGACTCAAATCTCCTAAAGTCTTCAAGAATTTAGATTCTGGAAAACGAAAAATTGACAGTGAAAGTATGAATGGTTCTTTATATACCTGGAGTTAACCTATCAGATGGCTTTGCTAATACCAAACAAAACAAAGGCAAACTAGGGGCACCTGGGTGGCTCAGTCATTAAGTGTCTGCCTTCAGCTCAGGTCATGATCCCAGGGTCCTGGGATCAAGCCCCGCATCGGGCTCCCTGCTCCGTGGGAAGCCTGCTTCTCCCTCTCCTTCTCTCCCTGCTTGTGTTCCCTCTCTCAGTGTGTCTCTCTGTGTCAAATCAATAAATAAAAAGTCTTAAAAAACAAAACAACAACAAAGGCAAACTAGAAGGTAGACAAAAATAATGTTATTATCTCCCCTCTCACCAACTTCTTTCCTTTTTTCCTCCCTTTCTCCAGCAACCCAACCCCCAGGCCCCCAAATTCCAAATCTGCTAGTTCATACTAAATTATTCACAATGGTGCGTCAACTAAGCTGTCACTTTCAAAATGAAAGTGTTAATACTTGAGACTATTATGAGGATCAAAATAATAACATATAAAAGCATTTTATAGTTAAAGAGTAGTAATTAGGAAAAGGCATAAGCATTTTAATGAAAAATGTTGCAGACAGAAACAGTTCCAAAATAGATCCTTCCATCCCATGAAGGCACATCAAATGAAGATCTAAAATATTTGGGATCTGGGGAAGGTTGCCCACTATAAACTAAAGTCTTCCCAGCTTCCCTGAATTACTATGCATAATTTACCAAGCTTATAATTCCAAGGTCCACCAGATGGTGCCATCTGTCCTATAAAGTAGAAAAATCCAAATGAATTCAGTCATTTTAACTAAAACTAATTCAATAATCTTCAGAAGCAAAGGGCAAACTACCAGAGAGGAAAATTCAATAGTTCACTTCAAAGCTATTTACCTCGTAGTTACTGAGCAGTGCAGAATTGGCATCCTTCCTGCAAAATAAAGTAAATCATCATCAGTCTGGGCTCACATTCCTTTGTGGGAATTAAATATCTGTAAAATACTTCCTGTATCAAGATTTAGTAGTTCAGTTCAGGAATTTAGGGGCTACAACCTAAAACTGAGAAATGTCCTAAGTCCTACTGGTTAGCTGGCAGTGGACAATTTCAGAGTAAACTTCCCTCTTTACAGGCATAGTATACAACACATCCATTACTAAGTAGGTCACTGAAATACTATACTTATCCTTAATCTATGTAGGCAGAAGTTAAGAGAAGTCAGTCATCTGGGAGAAGTCACTTACAGGAAGAACATGGGGCAAAACCAGAGGGTTAGGAAGGGGCGTCAGTAAACAGAGAGGGGGCTAGAATTAACTGGAGAAACTGCTGTCTCATCCCACAGCCATGTCCTTTCCCCAGTACCATCTGCCTCCCACCAGTTATTGACATTTTGGGCAGGCAAGTCACCCTGCTGAATCACCAGAAATGGGATCATTAACATTAACATCACTACTGGGAATTCCAACAATGTCAAGAATCCTGCTAGATATCCTGAAAGGTGTTCATCTTCTGTATCAATTCAACAGGTAAAGTTCATGCGTCAAGCAGTAGTCAAAGCGTGGTACCCCTGCAATCAAGGCACAATGTCATTTTTCATGTATGAGTGAGCACAGCAACATGACTTGCATTAAAGTATAATCAAGCCATTCTACAATACCACATCAGAAGTGCTTAATGTTTTTAATAGTCTAGAGGCAGTATAGTGTGATAATTAAGAGCACATTTTTGAAATCAGACAAATCTAGGTTCATATTCTAGCTCTGCCACTTACAAGGTATGGGAGTTCTGGTGAGTTTATTAACCCCCCTAAGCTTCTCATTTAAAACAAAAAATGGGGAGCGGCTCATTTAAAACAAAAAATGGGGAGCGGAGCAGGAGGCTCTGTGGGACCCAGTCAGACCGTGCTACCAAAGCATCGCCCATACCCACCACGGCCGCCACATCGGGGAGTCTCCTGCGCCACCCAGGGGAGCGAGCTCCAAGCATCTCCTGCTGCAGCTGCTCCTCGGGGCCAGGAGCAGGGAAGCTGAGTACGAGAAACCCCCAGGCCCTAGACCCGAGGGCAGCCTCTTCCCGCCACCTGAGCCACCATGACCCACTTCAACAAGGGCCCTTCTTAAAGGGCTCTCCGTCAAGGTCAAGAACAAGATTGCTTCCAACTATGATCTTCAAGCAGAAGATCTTCAAAATTGGATAGAAGAGGTGACAGGCATGAGCATTGGCACCAACTTTCAGTAGGGCTTAAAAGATGGCATCATCCTCTTTGAGCTCATAAACAAGCTACAGCCAGGCTCAGTGAGGAAGGTTAATGAGTCCTCATTAAACTGGCCTCAGGTGGAGAAAATTGGCAACTTTATTAAAGCTGTTCAGGCTTATGGCATGAAGCCACATGACGTATTTGAAGCAAATGATCTTTTTGAGAATGGAAACATGACCCAGGTTCAGACTATGCTGGTGGCTCTGGCAGGTCTGGCTAAAACAAAAGGATTCCATACAACCATTGACACTGGAGTTAAGTATGATGAAAAACAAACAAGACGTTTTGATGAAGGAAAATTAAAAGTTGGCCAAAGTGTAACTGGTTTGCAGATGGGAACCAACAAATGCACCAGCCAGGCAGGTATGACAGCCTACGGGACCAGGAGGCATCTTTATGATCCCAAAATGCAAAGTGACAAATGTTTTGACCAGACCACAATTAGTCTGCAGATGGACACCAACAAAGGAGCCAGCCAGGCGGGGATGTTAGCACCAGGTACCAGAAGAGACCCCTATGACCAGAAGCTAACATTACAACCAGTGGACAACTCGACAATTTCTCTACACATGGGAACCAACAAAGTTGCTTCCCAAAAAGGAATGAATGTGTATGGGCTTGCGCGGCAAGTATATGATCCCAAATACTGTGCTGCTCCCAGAGAACCTGTCATTCACAATGGAAGCCAAGGAACAGGAACAAATGGGCTGAAATTAGTGACAGTGATTATCAGGCAGAATAACCAGATGAATATCATGGAGAGTACCAAGATGACCACCCCAGAGATTACCAATATGGTGACCAAGGCATTGATTATTAGATTGACACAGAGGAGCTCAGTATTTAGTCCATTGTTTTTATTCAGTGAGAACCAAGCTAGCCTTGAGTAATTTTTATCTTGTCTTCTTAAAACACTAGAATGCTTATTGTACCTAAAAGAAATATTGCCTTACATGCATTCCCTTTTCCTTTTTCTGCCTCTTCCCTAAATGGTTGCCTTTTAGTGCTGTAACAGTTCAATCCTACAGCAGAAGCAGTAACTCCCATATGAAGTAAAATCCTTTTTTGTGAAAGGGGAGTACTCTTGTACAGCCAATTCTCTTATTAAAGACCTATGCTTTTTTTTTAAGATTTTGTTTATTTGAGAAAGAGAGAGAGAGAGAACAAGCAGAGAGAGCGGCAGGCAGAGGGAGAAGCAGGCTCCTCACTGAGCAAGGAGCCTGACGCCGGACTCAATTCCAGGCTCCTGGGATCATGACCTGAGCCGAAGGCAGATGCTTAACCGACTGAGCCACCCAGGCCCCCCCAAAGACCTACTTTTTTTTTTTTTTTACAATCTACTTAATAAACTGCGATTTTCAAACAATAGGAAGCTTTTTTTTTTTACAGTTTAGTATCTAGCTAAATGTGGTCTTCGCCAACTAAATTTAAGATGCAGCATTTTAGAAATTTACACATCAATGTCTCTACAGTATTGTTTGCTAATTTTTAAATAAAGTCCTGATCAGGGTACATTTGTGATTATATGTGTGCTCATTCTCTTACCTAAACTGATAAGATCTTTTCAGGGTGGTGTTTCTAAAGGAGCGTGTACAAAATAGGCCTGCAGGCATTCAGGTCTGGGTGGTGCATTTGCTCTTCCTGTTCCTGCCAATGTATCACTGTAGAGTTGCTCTGTTCTCTTCAACTGTATTCATTGCTGCATTTCTCAATATAAACTTACCCCACTGTGTTTTTTATAAATAAGTATTTTTTTGAACATTAAAAAAAAAATGGGGATAAAGTAGTACCTAGAAGTGTAGCCTGGATTCTAAACCAGCTCCACTGAACATTAGGGCTCTGTGAATTTAGGCAAGTTACTTAACCTCTCTGTACTTAAATTTCCTCATCCATAAAATGACAATTGCAGTACTAACCATGTAAGATTATTTATAGGATTAAACTGAAAGATGTAAAGTACTGGAACACATACTCAGTAAAAGCCATCTATTATCACTACCTGTGTGACTACCATAACTTCTTCCTACATCATAAAGCTGTTATGAGGATGAAACGAGACAACAAATTTTAGAAGTGTAGCATTGTTCTTGGTACTTACTAAGATCTTCTTTAATGGAAGCTATTATTTTTTTTTTTAAGATTTTATTTATTTATTCATGAGAGACAGAGGAGGAGAGAGAGAGAGAAGCAGAGGGAGAAGCAGGCTCCCAAGGAGCAGGGAGCCTGATGCGGGACTCGATCCCAGGACCCTGGGATCATGACCTGAGCCGAAGGCAGACGCTTAACCATCTGAGCCACCCAGGCGCCCGGAAGCTATTATTTTTTAAAGATATCACCTCATTGAATTCTCATTTAAAAACCCTGTGATGTAGGAGCTATTATGATTCTTTCTTTACAGATGATGAAACTGAGGCTCAGAGATTTAAAAAATTGCTTAAGGTCACAAAGAAGCCTAACTGAAGCGGAAGATAACTACAGAACTGTGAAAAAAGAGGCTGGATTAGACAAATGGAAACCAGTAATGCAGAATCCTAAAAATTCAGGAAGCACTCTGGACTTGACATAATATATATTAAAGACTACTATTTGTTCCTAAACCGGGAGCAGGGCTATATGATGAAAATGCTGACACAAAATTTCAGAAACATGGGCCAAATAAATGGGTGATTTCTCTAAGCAATCAATAAAGCAAAACAAGCAGGTAATTAACACAAGGATCTGACCTAGGCCTTTGGTCAGCAGCACAGTGATGTCAGCACTCTAATCAAATCAACATGTGAAGCCTACCAAATGCTACTAGACATTCAACAAATAGCTGGGATTTCACAAAATTGTTGCTTTGCCCAAATGACCACAATTGCACTCAGGTCACAAAGAGTATCATTAAAAAGGACTCTAACACAGGAAGGACAATGCATAATTAGTGTATATGATATGGTTCATTTAAAATTGAAAAGGACAAATCAAACCACATGTCATCTTTGCCTACTTAATCAGGAAGTCAGTCCACAAGGCTTCTTCCTATCTTTGCTTGAAATTGAGTTAAAACTCCCTGTGTGCCCTAAAGTACACTGTAACAAGAGATCCCTTCCTGGAACAGACTGGAAAAATAATACAAATGTTATTTTTCCTCAAGGCTACGGGATCCATCCCAGGTGCCATTGTTACAACTTCATTTCCAAATCATAGCCTCTCCTTTGTCATGCAGAATATTCTATGCCTTAGGAAAATCTGTCCTTGGCTATTCCAAGTTATTTCCCCACTGCCCAAGCCAATATTGTCAATGCAAGAATCCGAAGAACATCATCTGTCTTTACTAGAACCAATATACAAAGGAGAGACACTCTCTTGCATGTGTTTTAATGAACCTGTGTTTTGGAGCCAGGAGAACAATAGATGTTTAAACAAGTACCACATCTTGGAGATTCCGGCTGGCAGAAGGTGATTTATTCAATTATTCTTTTATTAGGAAGATAAATAATTTTTTTACTCAGTAAATACTAATGCAATAAATGCCAATATATGCTAGGCTTTCCTTTATTTAATAGAATGTCAATAGGCATAAGATCTACCTTTTATGAAATGAACTATGTTCATTTCAGTTTCTAAATGAACTGTGCATTATCAAGGAAAGTTTGTGGATTTTTTTTAAGATTTTATTTATTTATTTGACAGA